TTATATATTATATATATTAAATATTTATAATATTTAATTTTATGATATTTAATATATTAAATTATATTTAAATCATATTTATATAAATTATAAATATATATATTTCCCGTGGGGGTGGCGGGGAAGAATACCCCCTCAGTAATCCCTGCTTGTCGTAAGAGACGACTAAAAGGGAAACCTAAGAAAAAAATATATATATATATATATTTTAACGTCTCCTATGTTTTATAATAATTAATATATTAAATTATATTTATATAAATTACAATTATACAATATTACAATATATCTATTTGAACGTCTGGTAGGTCACGTGAATTAATCGAGAGTAGCAGCAGATTGTCTCGTCAACAACTTGACAGCCGGTTTCTCGTTTGTCAAGAGTTCTAAGTTAGAGGGTGCCACGATTCTACAGTATAACATACACACAAACACATAAACACATACACACACATATACAAATGGAAAAGTAAAAAGGGCCAAATGGTTTAGTAGCAAAGTAGGTAGAAAAGAAGGAAGGAAGGAAGGAAGGAAGGAAGGTGTGTGAGAGAGGAACCGACGTTTCTTTTTAGTCTCGGGTTAACACTCTTCTTCTTCTCATAGAATATATATTCCTAATCCTTACTGAGAGTTTCTAAACGGTTGCCAATCATTTCCGGTTTTCGGATTAGTCTCGCGCGAAAAATTTGAATCACCCCGCTCCCCACCACCCTTCTCTTCAGCCGTTTTCTTGCTCTTTTGCTAAACGTTAAGTGAAGAAAGAAAGAATGATAGAAAAGAAGAAGAGAGACACATTGGGTTGACGACAATGTGTCCCTGTTCCTCCTCCCTTTCCCTTTCACCCCTACCACACCCTCAGCGAAAGGGCCGAATGTTGGCTTCATAAGCGGATTACAAACGACTGCTACACGCGCTTGAAAAACGATATTTGCACGAATAAAGGTTTTGCTTGCCCCCTACCTTTCATCTTCACCTTATTCAGCCGCCTCCCCCCCTTACCCCACTCTTTTGCACGCTATTTATCGTTGAAATGTAGATATATATATATATATATATCTATATATATTATTTCTGTTTAATACCTTGGAATATTGAAAAAGTAACCAAAGAATAAAATTAATATTAATTGTAGTTATTATTTAATTAAAAAAAAAATATTGTGTAGTATAATATTGTATATTATTATTAGATTTTTATTTATTATAATTATTGTAATAATATATTTTGTTAGTTTTGAAAAATTATTTGAAATAAAAAAAACGATTAGTAAATTTTTGATAGATCTTTTAATATTAACATAAATTTATTATTTATTATTTATTTATTATATATATAATAAATGTAATAATTATAATATAATATAATATTTAATTTAATTTAAATATAATTTAATATATTATATGTTATAAAATTTATAAATTATATTATAAATATACAATAAAAAAATATTATATTTATATATATTTATTACATATTTTTTATTATTATATATATATATATATATATATATATATATATAATTTATTATTACACAATATTTATTATATTAGGTTATAACTATGAAATGTCCTGAATACTCGGATTATTTTCACCTTAAAAATATACATTTCATATTTAATGACCTAATATATGTGTGTACAATACTACGTCAATTAAAAATAAAAAAATAAACCATAAAAAAAAATAAAAACTATCATTGCGATACGCGTATTAGAATAAAATAAAACATCGACATATGATACTTTTTTTTCTTTTTGAAATATATTCTTTATAATAA